ATCATCGGGGTCCCGTTTCTCCAAAACGATGTCGCTCCTGAAGTCCCGCGTGCAGCCCCCAAACCGAGGGTGTCGCACAGTTTCTGGGTCCTAGTAGCGGATCAGCAAAGCTGGGTCTCAAACGAAAGCTCTTTCTGTACAGACATAGTTGTTGTGCAGGAAGACCGCAAGAACCGGAACCAAACCGACATGAATCGTCCACCCAAATGAACCGCGAGAACCGGGAACAGCGAACCGGCCCGACAAACCGAATCGCCACCACCGAATCGCATTCCAAAACCTCCATCCATGCAGCCAGCAAGCCCCATCCAGTTCAACCATCCCTTCGTCCAGTAGCCCCTCCCCTCTTAAACCAGCCAAACCCCCTTCACCCGGCACACCCAGCAGTCTCCATAAAAACCTGCACCACCTTATCCTCACCCCCTCCTCCATGCACCCGTCCATGGCCTCCATCCGCAGCTCCCTCCACGCACCACCGTTCCCCTAGAGTCCTAGAGAGGTGGATGGTGGATGGCGGATGGAATTTCTGAATGGTGGGGAGGGAAGGGAGGGATTACTGTTGATGTCACGTTTTTGCCCGTGGACATTTGGTGATGCCACCCTGTCTGGAGAGGATCGAGAGAGAGAGAGAGAGAGAGAGAGAGAGAGAGAGAGAGACTCGTGATTCGAAGCCAACGGAGCAGAGAGGGATGTTTTGCTGTCGCCCCGACTCTACGACTCTACCCCTGCAGTTCCAGCTCCGCCCCGTGCGAAAGGTCAAGCGGTGCACAGGCATGCGCATCAAACAAAAATCTGAGAAGATCATCAGCGAGGGGCATTGCGTCTCATGCTGTCCTTGTCTACATGCACACTGAATCTGTGTGACGGGAGCGTCAACATGCTCCAGTGCTGGCAGATGCAGGCAGATGCAGGCAGTAGGCTCTGGAAGTGCCTGCCCGACTGCAGCGCCACCTGGCACGGCCAACAGAAGGCACAAAGGCGTGATCGCATCGAAGCGAAATCGACGCTGCAAAGACTCAATTGGTTTCGAGAACATGAAGCACTCTCAGCCTGCAAGGGACGCGACTGGGCTCCTGCGGCAGCGATCATGTCCGCCGGGGCCAGGACGTCGGATCTCCCTGGGGCAGGACCGCTGAGCTGTCGTTGCACACCCACGAGATGGCTCCAACCACGCCAGACCGAGAAAGGATGAAACTGAAATGCCGATGAGGCTCCGCGCAGATAGGGCATTACCTGGGCATGGAAGTACGGTCGTCCCGGGCAGAGCATTCTTGCAGTGCGCATGCAATGTTCGGAACCAAGGCGGTGAACAGAGATCGAACCCAGCTGCTGTCACTGTTTTGTAAGAAACCGGATTCTAACAGACGCTTTCTTTGCCTGAGGGGGCGAGACCTGGAGGTCCAAGGCAAGGTCCAAGGCAAGACACCATAGACCAGAAAGGCACAGTCTGATTCAGCGAACAATGTGCCCTTTCCTAAGCCCTGCACTTCTGGAAAACTCGCCACGGCGACGCCGCCAAAGAGCGAGGCCAAAGCTACTCGTCGCCTTCCGCTCAAGACCAAACATCATTGGTACCCACCCGTCTGCTGCATGTCGAAGTGGCGATGTGACTTCCGTGATGCATGCACTGCCTCACGACCTGCTCCGAGCAAGCACTCTAAGCTGTGAGTACATTCTCCTGGCCACTTCGACTACAGTGCCACGGAGACACTGAACTATCTAGCACCATGCCCGAAGCTTGAGCCCCTGGCCCGTCGATTTCGAAACCTTGGACAAGATGGGAGCACACTGATTGTTCAAAGAATACTGCCTGCACGAGCCGCGGGACCGAGAAATGCTGCAGAGGCACCTTCAGGAGCCGTTCCGAGATCATGAGGCAGCGCCGCCTGTAGACTAGACGTCCACCCTACAGCTGGCCACGGCTTCGACACTCTTGTGGAGCGCCCATGACACGTGCAGCAGTAACATGACAGACACATAGATATGCGTCGAATCGAAAAGTCTCCTCTTTGCATCCTGACCCATCGAAGCACTTGTGCGCGGACTCTTGGCGATCTGGGGCAATCACTCAAGCTCAGCGGCACTGCAGTAACAGGACACTGGCTGCACTCTTGGAGGGCACGACCGAGATTCCATCTCTCGAAGAGATGGCCCGCAGGTGAGCGAACTGGGTCCAACATAAGCTGGCCATCAAGTTGGCAGCATAGATGCTGAGGTGCATCAGAGAAGACATAGCGCAAGCGCAGTGGCTCAGCCATCACGTATTCTTCAACACTGTCTTGCGAGATGCAATCAAGCTCAGCGGGCGCTGCCGCCTGCGACAGCCAAAACCGGAGCTTCTCACATCCAAGACCAAGCCATCTTTCCGAGGCGGCCCTGAACTTTGCGGAACTTGCAACCGGCAGGCTGCTGATGAGATCCTGCAAGCCGCTATTGGCGGGCTCACAGGGCAGCATGCCGGCACTCGCCACCAAAACACAAATCACCGACAGGGCAAACGGGAGAGAGGGCTGATCCTCAACACACAGGCTTGATTGTAGGAAGCGCTCGCACTGCTGACGCTTTGGTGGGTTGGCTATGGAAAGGAAAGCACAATCTGTCCAGTAGGCAGCGAAGACATTGTCAAGATTGCCGAGAAATAGCTCCCAGAACTGCTCGCTGTACTCCAATGTCACGGAACCGGGGCCAGCAATGCAAGCTAGGAAGGATGCCAGTTCGGGAAGACACTTGCGAGTAAAACAGTTGGAGAGCAGGAAAACCTCGAAGCTACTGTGCGCAAAGGCACTGGCCACTTCGGCACGATGCTGCCGCACCACTTCGTGCCTTGAATCGATTGATACCGTATTGTAGGCCAGTGTGCTCTCCCGAAGAAATGCCAGATGAGGCTTGTGCAACGAAAGAACCGCCACAAGTACGCTTGTTGCCAGGATCTCCGAATCATCGGGCACAGCTTCATAGTCTCTCCAGTTCATCACGGCCTTGGCGACATAAAATGCCCATAAGGCGTCTCCATGCACAAGCTCCAGCACCATTTCGATTGAGACAGGACTTCGGCTTGCTAGAACCATGCAAAGCAGCAGACATGCGACCGAGCCCTCCAGCGCTGAGCGCAACTTTGGATCGCATCTATCGTGGCACAAAGAGCCGAACAAATGAATGGAGAGCCCATCAATTTCAAGGGCAACTTTCGAGAGGAGCTGCACAAGCTCATGCTGATGCTCACATCGCCCACTTCGCTCGTCCTTGGCATCGTCGGCTGAGGGTCGGAGGGGTGGAAAGAGGCAAGTGAAGGCCATCAAGCAGGACTGTAGCATCTCAGCCTCGACCACACAACAGGTGCTCCAGCAAAGTTCAATTTGCTCTGCTTCAGTTGCTCCATCATCTTCACTCCGTGTGAGCGCACTGCTGCACCACTCAACCAAAGGCGGCAAGATGTCCCCGATGTGCGAAGCTGCGTCTGCCGCACTGTTCAGAGTGTCGATGACTTCTTCAAACGGTCTCAATTCAGGCTGTCCATTTCGAAAGGCTAGGTCATGAAGTCGTTTCAACGAGATGCGGAAGTCGTCTAACATCATGCGAACCCATTGACTGCACGGCAGACTGCAGCTGAGCCCTGCTGTGCTGGCAACTTTACTTATGACACTCGCATGACCTACAGTAGGCAGCCTTATAGCTGCCGGACCATCTGCCGCTGATGAGCGGACCCCCCTTACACACAGCCCTGAAGCAAACCAATCCACAGCCTCCTCCCGAAGACGCACAGGGGAGTACTCATACACTCCCACCTGCAAGGAGGGTCGATCAACATGAGTAACACAATCAAAACATGGGCCAGCCTGGCCAGGCAAAGGACTGACGCTGGCGGGCACCTTCAGCTGACTGGCTGGTGTAAGGTCGCGTTTTGCCATCGGCTTGACGCATAAGGACGCTGCTGCTTCCGGCATGGCTCGATCGTCGGGAAGGAGCAAGAGCACCAGTGTCAGCAACACCTGGATGGGAAGACATGCTGCCTCTTCTCGATGCACCGCGGACACAAAAGGTTCTGCATTGCCTAGGCAGCTTTGACCAATGCTGCGTGAAGCGATTCTTGCACAGAAGCTCAAAACCAGAGGAGACTCTGTTCAAAACAAAGTCTGATCGTCGGCATGCGTGCTGGAGTGTCAAACATAGCTTGATACTCTGCAGTGTTTGTGGATTGCCTGCCTCTGGACAGAATCCAGAGACATGGAATCGGATCGCCGCATTGTTCGACATCTCAATCTTGCCCTCGAACAAGCTAGATGGGCGCTGCCGCTGTCGTAAAGACCAGCATTCTCAAGGGTGCGCCGAGAAGATTCGGGGGCTTGCCCGTGGTGCGGCGGCTTATTTCTGGAGTTAGCATGAGTTTGGGCGGGTATTGCCTTGTTCCATTGGCCTCACATGCCGGCTCTGCCTCTGGTGAACCGGTGTTACATGAGAGGATTCTGCGCCGATTTTTGCAGAAACCCGACATAAACAAGTCGCGGCCCCAGAGAAGTTGGTCATCATTGTGTATCATGTCCACGGTGGCGGGCCACTTTGCTATGAGTTGATAAAGCTGCTCGCTCACAGCTCATGCATCGCAACCATCCACTCCTACTTGTGCCTGAGTTCCGGAAGCTTCGTGGGTTCGTTTATGCCGTGGCTCTCTTTAGAGCGCGAGGAAAAAACTCTTGCTGAAACTTCGTTTCTGGCCATTTGCAGAAAAAATCTACTGACATCAACACAGGCTGCGATCAAAGCCTTGGTTAGACACCTGAGCCGGGGGCTAAGTAGATGCCAGCTTCCGCTTCGAGGCCGTAAGCATCGTGGATCTTCGTCAGTAGCTGCCACGAACCGGCCTAAAGTGACAACGTTCGCGGTGGGTCCGAACCTGCATTGTACATGGTGCCACTTTACTTGGGTCCTTGCCAGCAGAATCACAACACCAGTTGCGCTCTTGCCTCGGAACTCGCTCTGAACAAGGGTGCTGAAGTCTTCAATCAAATTCAGCTCAGGATCCCCATTGCCCAGTTTCCTGCGCTGTACTGCGGGACTCTGCAGGCAGAGCAACAGGCCAACAGGCGCATCCTGTCAGTCCTGGAAGATCGGCAGGAACCCTGCAGACACACTCACCAGAGCAAGAGGGGCACTGTAACCTCGGTCGAAGCTCAGAGGACGAGCTGGGCCACTGGGCAGAAAGGAGATCTGAAACTTGGAGCCAAGAAGCCCATTGCATACGAAAACAACAGAAGCGCAGAATTCGCCATTCCAACCTTCAACACGCTCCGCACACTGTGAAGCACCAGTCGCAGCCAGAGTATGCATGCAGCCCGGCAGCAGAGTGAGAAGCCAGGTATGTCGTCGTGGTGACCAGAACCTACAATCTTTGTCATGCTGCATACTTGTACATCATGCTGGCGGGTGCATCCCCAACTCAGTTCGCAACCGGTGTTGCGCAAGGTGAGGAGCCTTTTTTCGGGGGTGCTTTTGGAACATTTTGTCAACAAGAGCAGTAGCGCACCAGACCACCGTGTTACCGTGCTGACGTGTGGCCTGCAGCACTGGCCATGCCCAGCAGAAATCCTCGCAGCTCCTGCGGAGCGGCTTCGATCGTCTCGCCCAAACCTGTGTTCGAGAGGAACGAATCATCCGGTCGCGCATGGCGTGACACCGCCTGGAATTCCACTGAGCTTCAGCGGAATGATTTCCAATAAGCCTAGGCGTGAGTTTGGAAGAAGCACATCGCCACCAGCGTCAGAAGAATCAGAGTTGATCAGCGATAATCTGTTCCAAGCAACTCAGACCCATTACTACCGCGACGACCGGAAAAAGCCATGGAAGAATACCTGCCGCAGGGATGGCTACGAGATGCATCGAGCAGGGATCGAATCCACCAAAATTCCATGCCTTCGCCCAGAGGCAGCCTTTTGCACAGCGACACTTTACATGATTCACAGGTCAAGCAGCACTCGCCAGTTCACTCCAAGCAAGTGAATGCCTTTCGCCGGCAAAGGCAACAGCAACGCCCAAGGCCACCAGAACCACTGCAGAACCTGTCAAGAGAAGGGTCGACCAACGGGACTTGGTGTGAGCAGACCTTGACCTCAAAGGTTAGAAACTCTGGCAGAACCAGTACGGGCTCCCGGTTGTCAGAGGGACTGACATTCCGGAAGATCCACAGTATTCCATAGTGTTCTCGAAGGACATACGAAGAGAGAAGCTTTGATATGAATTGATACTGTTGTTCGCCCCAGGCAAGACGAAACCAGTGACGAACCCGTGGCATGTCGTGTTTGCGTTGTTTGCCACTTCACTCAAGGCTTGCATCTCTGGTTCGAGATAGATCAATCGGTGTACCTCGTGACATACTGCTTTGAGCCGCTGTGACGACCTCTCTTCCCAATGAGGTCAAGCAATGATCCGGCCTGCAGTGTATGCAAGGGCCTGCAGCACTGGAGACTGCCGCCTGTGTCCGTGACGTGGCGAATTTTGCTGAGAGAACATGGCAAGAGTTTGCAAAGCCTGGACAGTGCTGCGACGGAGGCCGCTGCCGCAGGCAAGGAGGCCGCCGTGCAAGGATTTAAGGACGAGGCCAAGCCTGCAGCCGAAGTTGATTCGCGTCTGCGTCGAGCATTCCGAGCCGTCATAGCCTCCCATGAAGAGAATCGGGATCAGGAAAGGGCCACCGTCCGAAAGACCTGCCAAATCAACGGCCAGCAGCAAGTCTGTTCATTTCGGGTGCATTTGCCTGCGAAGAAAAGATATCGCCAGGGAACAAGTGATTTCCCACCGTACCTAACTCCCCATGCCGCCGGCCTTGGTTCACCACTTCGTTCGCCTGCGAGGCTGCTGCAAACAACCAAGACCTGACATTGGAGTGGCAACAGACACGTACAAGCACTGCAACCTGGGTTTCCCGGCTCAAGGCCGAAAGCAGACGAACTGTCCTGTGCACGTAGGCCGCTGCGCGCGTCCTGAAAAGTTCGACGTGCACCTCGGAGTCTTCCAGCCTGTCCCAGAGGTAAGGCACAATTTCAAAGTAGCCTGGGTTGCAGCACTTGCCTGGCCAGACCAGACTCGGTATCTTCGTGTGCTCGCGCCATCACCTGTCGGCTAACTTGCGATGCATGCAACCTCTGCATCTCAACATTCATCATGCACCACCATCACACGACGACAACATGTCGAACGCTGGAAATACGAACACGTTACTCGATGGCAGAAAACTATCTGCCTTCAACTAGGGCGTGGTCTCGGACCAGGCATCTGGGGCACGCAAGCAAAAACGGAGTGGCCGGCCTGAAAGAGCCAGCGAAAGCTGTCATGCGATGCTTGAGCTTTCCCACCCTTTGCTGGCCTCGCAACGTAGCCCAGCGACATGCTTCACTGGCGCATGAGTGAAGCGAACTTGCGACGCTGGCTTGCCAGAGAAAGTCTCTCGGCAAATTTAATCTGCATCATTTTCCTTGCTTTGGGTTGTTTGGTTTTAATATCGCCTGCGGAGATTTCCACCATTAGCTGACAAGTGTGTCAATGGTTGGGTTTCTGTTCTCTGATTGAACCGAGACGCACCATGACGGAGATTGAATGAACACTGTGGCGACAGCAGCAAGGCCGAGGTGCAAACATAGTGGAGACGTGTTCAGTCCTGCAGCTTGATGAACATGTCTGTGCTGGCCTCGGTCTCCACTTGGGGATCTTCCCTTTGTACATGGAGTGATCCAGACGGGTCCAACCTAGTCCAACATCTCCCTCTGCACAGACTTGCTCGGGAGGTACGCCGATCCATCAAACGGACATGGTCAATGGTGATGCAGCCAAACCCAGCGAATTTGTCAGAGCTTAGCGGAAGAGATTGCAAAGTGCCGGGCAGTCATATCTGGCAGGCTTCCAGCGAGGGGTAGCTTTCCACAGTCTCGCACGAACTGCGACACCTGGAAACACACAACGGCACACAACCACATGTGAAAGCATATGCCATGCTGATTACACATCCTAGACTCTGCTACATCTCAGCATCAAGTTCTCGACAAGCGACTGCTCTGGCAACAATCCAGAAGTCGCTCTTCGATGCGTTCGCAACGTGCGAAAGAACCTGCAAGCCGGTGACACGCTGGAAAGTGCTATTGATGCCGCCTTCTACCAATTTGCATTAAACCATGTTGGTGTCACGAGCTACACAAAAGCAAGCCCTTGGCATGCAGACAGGCAGTCTCCGCCAACGAAAAATGAAGGTGTGCTATGCAATGCATTTCCCGTCTAGGTTTCTCCTTGAGGAACTTGCGGTGCTGCACTTCAGGCTGGGAGGCGTTTGTCTTCGAACTGGCAGAAATCAGATTGTCCTTGGAAGGGAGAGTCTGAGGATCGGTGGTGCCCACCATCTGTGCTGATCTACCGTGATGTTGGTTTTGTGAAACATCATCCCTAGCTTCTGAGCGGGAACGGTGTTCGCACTTGTTTAAGCCCAATTGGGCTTTGAGAGTGCTGCACGTCCTCCAGAGCTGCTCTGCAACATATCCAGCAACACTGTTTGAGAACCTTGTTTGTGTTGCCGTTCAACCAAGTGTACGAACTGATCATTCAAAGCGCAATAGCAGCTTGCCATAGCATATGGAACTGGCAAGACATTGCATGTTCACCAAGCAGCTGCGCAAGCATGTCATAGAGTCCACGAGCCAACATGGAAAGAGGTCGCCTGCTGCGCCGCATCTGGAATCACGTAGGGCATCCAAGCCTGCATGACGACTGTTTCGGATGGCCGTTGCATTGAATCTCATGTGCAGAGCCACCATACATGCACATGCCAGCAAACCATGCCTTGTATGCGTTCGCGAGAGCCTCGCAATACTGCCAATCTATTTGTTCCGGCCGAGTGGGCGCCGCGAAATCACCGCCTCGTCAAAGTTGACCTCTTGTTGACTGCGCCGCATCTTCAACACCTGCCGAGCTGACAAAGACCTTGCGATCTCGAAAGGAATACGGCGTGCTCCGAGGTTTTTGGCTCTTAGGCCGGGGCAATGTCTTTGAATTCGTCCTCGGGTAAGGGGTACGCTACCTCTCTGCTCTGCTGTCGTTGCTATCGAGGATCGTCTTCGTCGGATCAGACGCCTTCTCCGGAGAAGTTTTGGGCAACGTCCTCCCCTCGGATCGTTTCCTGCGGACTGCCGGTGGCTCTAGCAAAGCTTCTGCTGCCCGGCTGAAATTTGTAAGAAGCTGCCGTCCTCCATGAGTCAAGCGCTCGGATGAGAATGACAACATATGGCCTACAGTCTGTCCGGAGAATATGCACAGGGGAACGGAGTTGCTGAGTTTCAGAAGAGCATGCTGAGTTCCAGGCACATGGGCATGCTCAGTGTCATTCAAGCTAGCCTTCGTCCATCTGACTAGAGACAATGGAGTTGCGCAGCCTTGTCAGCTAAAACTTTCTCAGATCTGGGCAAAGTCAATTGAGTCGGCAAACCTGAACGAGATCTGCAGTAAAATTCTAGCTGTTGCTGCCGCATGACCTTCAATCTGCTTCAAAGACAGCGGCCGACGGATTTCAACATCAGCTTGCTGGCTCAAATGACTTCTTGGTTACTCTACGCCGCACAATGCTCCAACAGCTCCCAACAGCTCCCAAGCTTTATGCCCAAGCACAAAGTTTGCAATGCTGTCCAGTTTAAATCTTGTCTGAGTTCGTCCCATGACATTTCGTGAACAATGATGCGGAACGGGTCGTGTCCAAGGCTTCGTGCCGTGTCTTCTCTTGACACCAATGTCGGAGCAGGAGGGCTTGATACTGCCGTTGCTTGCACTGCACTCTTCGCCGTGCTCCCACCGCCGACCGAAGGGCCCACACTCCGCACCCACCTCCCCACCAAGTACCCGGCAAACGAAACCACATGGCGACCTTCTGACTTTCTTCAACTCGGACACTCTGAAGGCCCACAGCCGACGCATCTGAACACAGCGAGTGGCTGGATCCAGAGATTCCGCTTGTTCGAGGTGTCGTTGCCACGAGCACGAGGCCGGTACACGGAATGCTTTAAGTTCGGTGTGGCTCTGGGGCCAGGCAAAGACGGAAACAAAACATGCGCTTCACAAAAGCGACTCTGAATGCAAACGAGCATACAACTCGACACCAGACGACTTAGCAAAGCCGGCGACCGGCATGCATCAGGAATTACACGCTGCACAGGCATGCAGGCCTCCTCAGTTCTGGAAATGGGTCAGTGAGACGCAGATCACCAAACCTGGCTGAAGCCGAGCCACCGCTGAGCTTGCATGAAGAACTTCAGGCATCTCTGTGTGTGTGTGTTGTGCTGCAGAGTCTCTACCCGTAACGGCCGTAACGCTTGCGGGGCACTCGGAGTCCGGTTTCGTCTCGCAGACACAGTGCTCGGTCACAAACAAGCGAATCTTTCCTGTGCGTGACTGATTCCAAATGGGCTCCTGCGCTCACGGCGAGCCTACAAATCCCAGGGAGGTGATGAGAACCAGCGGGATCTGCAGCTCCTGTCCAAGCTCAAAGCGTGGGCATTGCCTCCGTGCCCTCTTATCCTATCTGGATCTATCTGGCCTCGCAGAGCCTTCCAAGCTGAGCTGCCACTAGCTCTGTGACTTGGGAGGCGATGACCAGCGAGAAATGCCTCGCTGGCATCTCGAGACTCGAGGCCCTAGACTGCTTTCACCAGCTTCGACGACGGGCTCCGGACCGAAAGAAGTCTTTTCCTTGAGCCACAGCCTTTGCTGGATCTTGATCGACATGAGCCCTTAGCGCGGGAGGGGCAGGTCTTCAGCTGCAACTGCAGCTTCTGAGGACGATGCCCCTGAACATCGGGATTCATCTCGAGAAGCCACTTGCACGCCGCCTCAAGTCGGACTTACCTCTATGTCTATGCCTCTACGGTCTCTCTTCTATGCAAGCATGCCCAAAAGGTGAGCAGGAGGCCTCGGAACGGAGTTTGCCCAAATCGGCCTCCTGCTGCAACAAAATTTCGAGCCCAGAGAACCAGAACTGCAACGGCGCCTCCAAAAAGAAATTGTGCCCAAGGTCTGCAGCCTGTCACGACTCCACATTTCCCGGATCTTCACATCAGCAGAGGTGCACTGAGTCTTGGCCTCTACCTTTGCATTGTCCACAATGGTGAACTGGCCGATGCCTCAACAGCCCGTGGCCCCGCTCAGAATGGACGTGCGCTAATGCAGCATCAATGCCTGGCAGCACCAAGTTCTTGAGGGATTCCGTGGCAATTGCGGAGGAGCCAAGCATGCAAACCTGCAGCCCAACAACGACAGGCACTAGCACTTCAGATGGGATGAGGCTTGCTGTTGATGGTCCGAGAGTGGAAACCAAAGTATGGGCAAGGGCAAGTGTGGAAGGGAGGCTCGTTTCGAGACTCGTCAGCAGGAGCACGGACACATGCACTTCCCTGCTGCGTGGCTGTTGAGTCTCAACAGGCACGCACCTTGGCATCCATCAACGCCCGCTGTCCATGCGCACCTGCCGTTCCAACAACACTTCAGCTTTGCTTTTGAGCGTGCTCCGGGAAATGCAGATGCGGCGCCCCAAAGCCGGAGCTGCCGGTCATATTTGTCGGTGGTCGCCATGGCCCCCCAGGTTGGCTCTGCGCTGGTGCCAAACGAGATAAACTAAGGCTTGCGGTAGGAGTAGCGGACTCAAGAAGTGCTGTGCGTCAGTCCTCTACACCGATTCTCCAGGCTAGCGGCTAGCGCCGTGCGTTCTCTGATGCTGTCTGGAAAAACAAACTCTTCTCCCAGACCCTGTCTTGCATCCATGCGCACCAGAGCTGGGCAAAGCAGTCAGCACGTTTCCATCACTGCCGCGGTCAAGTGCTTCTCACCGATTGAGCATCATTGAGCGTCACAAAGCAATGGAAGGCCTGTGTAAGAGCGCTACCATGAAGGTTGGCCTGCAGGACCTGTCCAGAGCCAAGACGTCAGCAGATGAGAGCACAAATTGCAGGCTTGGCAGACAGGAACCTTCCGCTGATCTGCTGTGAGTTTGTGCACGGCCTTCCGGTACCTGACACAAAGTATGACGTTTCCAGAAGCCGCAGCACCGAGAAATGTTCCCCTTGCTCGAGGTCGAGGGATCGGGCCACAACCTCCATCTGCCTGGATCTAGTTTTCCTGCGCCTCTCTTCTACTCCCGCATCATACGGAGCCAGAAGATGACTGTCCTGGACAGTCTAGCCCCCTCAGCCCCCCCTCCCCTGAGCAGCAGACCCTCGGAAGAAGTCCAAGATGTCCATCTTGCATGCCAGGCGGGTTCTTTTCCTGTCGAGATCCTGCCGGAAGATCGCTTGCAGCCATGGAAGTGTGTCTGAGTGAAGAGCCTGCCTCCGACATTTCCTAAGATGCAACAACTCAATTAGCCCGACGTGCCTCTTTTCCTCTCATGTCCAAAACGTGCCATTTTAAATTTTATTTGTTCGCCGAGGCACCGGGGTCGAAGCATTCCGGGCCATGGCGGCCTAAGGTCTCTTTGCCAACTTCCGAATTTTTAGGAACTCGCTCATGACCGAGTTGTCGTTCTTGTCACTTGCCGGTCCCCGCTCTGCACCGTGAGCCAGAGCTCGTGTGATCTGAGCTGCCGCACCAGGTTTTGGCGCTTCTGCATGCTGATCGCTGCCTCCGTGGCTTCACGGAGAGCCTTCTCCTCAAACTGTTGATGGTGGCACTCCCGAACATGAAGTAACGGCCGCCCTCCTCGAGGATCTCGTTTATCCTGGCCTGTTTTGCCTCACGCAGATTTGCGGCGGCTCAGACCAAGGAAGATCGCGACGAAGTGAAGAAGGCAAAAGGCAGCAGGTCACTGTACCCTGTCCAACTCACTCACTCATGACAGGTTACACGATGAGGAATCTGGATTCGGAAAGTATTGAAAGCTCCAGTCGCGGAGTGCATCTGTAGATGGTACAAAACCCACAATGTGAGTCGGTCTATATATTTATGCAAGCATGTACGCGCATGTGTGTGTATGTATGTAT